TTAAAATTTGAGATAATTACTGTTAATTTTGCCTTTCTAATTAAAAATAGACCAAGAAAAGTCTTTAAAATGTGATAAAACATTGTTTTTCTTTCAGGGCTACAACAAAGCTGTGGACTGGTGGGCTCTTGGAGTTCTTATCTACGAGATGGCTGCTGGTTACCCTCCTTTTTTCGCTGATCAGCCTATCCAGATTTATGAAAAAATTGTTTCTGGCAAGGTATGCAAAGATAAGCAGGAGCAATGTTTGAGCTTTAATGTTTCCAATGTTAAAATGCTCTGATATTAGTTGGTGAAGCTAGATGAGTTTAAATATCTGGGGTCAACCATCCAAAATGCACAAGAGAGCTGAAGAAGAGAGTGTAGGTGGGGTGAACTGGGTGGAGACGAGTGTCAGGGATGATTTATGACAGAAGGATAGCAGCAAGAGTGAAAGGGAAGGTTTACAAGATGGTAGTGGTGTTGTGATGTGCGGCTTGGAGGCAGTGGCACAAGAGCTGGAACTCTGGGTGGCATCGTTTAAGATGCTCAGATTTTCAGTGGGAGAGACCAAGAGGGACAGCACAGGATGAGCGGTTTGGAGACAACGTTAGAGAAGGAGATGGTTGAACATGGAGCTGCTGGGCCAGAGTTAGACCTCAGAGAAGATTCATGGATGTAATGAAGGAGGACACGCAGAGGATTGGTTTGGCAGACGAAGATGCTGAGGATAGGGTAAGGTGGAGGCAGATGATCTGCTGTGGCAACCAGCCAGAAGAAGGAGGACACTGCTGACGACCATCGGGACCAGCTTGCTTTTGGCTTTCCAGTTGTTCTTTAGTGCTTTTAGCTGTTTTATTTCAGCGCAATAAGCGAAACAATGAAAGTATTTTTCTGCAATTTGTGTTTCATAACCCACATCTTTGATTTATTTATGTATTTTTGCAATTCTGCAGGTTCGATTTCCCTCTCACTTTAGCTCCGACCTCAAGGATCTGCTGAGGAACCTGCTTCAGGTTGACCTGACGAAGAGATTTGGGAACCTGAAGAATGGTGTCAATGACATAAAGAATCACAAGTGGTTCTCCACAACAGACTGGATTGCCATCTATGAGCGAAAGGTTGGTTGTTGCTCGCGCTTCCTTTTTTGGATCAAGAGACGTGATGTGGTTCATATTAAAATAAAAATCCTCCTAAATTCTCAGGTTGAAGCTCCCTTCTTGCCAAAGTGCAGAGGACCAGGAGACACAAGCAACTTTGATGACTATGAAGAGGAGGAGATCCGTGTATCGCAAACAGAAAAGTGTGCAAAAGAGTTTGCTGACTTCTAGTGAACGAGCAAGAGTCCCAATCAGGGCTCTTGTGTTTTGGGATATTTGCACTCCGATGAGGGTTAAGATGGAACTGAGGCCATCACGTGCTCAAACAAATGCCTCGTTCCTTCAGTCCACACAGCCGAATGAGCTCCTTTTTTTGCCATGATCCTGCGTGCTGTTAGCACTAATCTATACACAGGCACATTATGCAGACACCCCTCGTGCTGCAACACAGAGTACCAGACCACGTTCCTGTTGTGTTTCTTTTTTTTACCTTGTTTTCTATGTTTGCCACTGTCTGTGTCCTGTCGTCCCTTATTTAAGTTCTTATTTGAGAAGCAACTTGAAGACGAATATTAATCTTCCTTTGAAGCAGCTCGCTGGTGTCGCACATGATGTGATTTTTAGGCTTTTGGATAACTAAGGGACACTTTTGGGCGTTTTGGGCAGAGCATTTAAATTCCTGACATCTCATTGGCTGTTATATGTTTTCTGTTACATGACTTCGTTTCCTGTAGGATTCAGTTTAGTATTCCTTAATCAGAAACACTGAAAGTAAATCTAAAGCTAAAGCCAGGATTTGAAAATAGACGGCGCCTCTCGCTGCTGCTCTCCATCTCCGTCCGAAGCCCCTCCCATCAGCCGAGCACAGGCTGCAAATGCAAACTTTTGGCTTCACGCAACATCCAAACCCATCTCTACAAGGTGAAAGTTAGATTTCTAACCCACGGCACCAGTTTGTCTTTATTTCTGTGCTGATGTTCTTCCTTTTTATACCACTGGTGTAGTTTGAAAGACCCGTGATAGGCCAGAGTCTCCCGTCACGTGTCGCGTTTCGAGTGGGCTTTAGTGGAGATGCAGCAATAAAGCTCCCTCTGAGATCATTTGAAGCTAAATATGATGAGAGGTTAATATAAATGTTGTCATTTCTCTTTTTTTTTGTCCAAAAAAATGCCGAAAACATGTTGCCTAGCGCAGCTTTAAATATGAATCATTATTTATCACTCTGTTGCCCTCGAGACCTGAAATTGTGTATTTGTGCATATAGATGTATGATTTGATTTCTTTAAAGACCCTGTTTCCTTAGGGCATGACCACAATTCAATGAAGGGAAAGAAGCGGTGGTGGCTTCTGGAAGTTTTGGCACGCTCAAAGAAGCGGATCAATGTTGACAAGTATTATTATGAAGCAGAAACTTGTCAGTGTTGTGCTGATCAATCTGTAGCATCGTTTATCCATATCTGGTCGCAGGACTTTTCCTTTTACCTCAGTCTTGGTGTGATATTAGCATAATGGAAGGAAGTAATATATTTTTTCTGGTACAACTATGTTAGAGAGAAAGGGAACTAAGAAAATTTGAGTATATCACTGTGCACAACATTTACATGATTTGTTTTATACATTAGTGCGTTTTTCAGTAATTGAAAGGTCAGGTGATATTTTCTTGAGGTTTTATCATGAAGGGGAAGCAGTGTTGGTCTCATTTAGGTTGCTGTTTGTTTTTTTGTCTTTTAACTGCTGTGTTTTGAGCAGAACAATCGCAAGATGTTGTGTACCTGCCATATTTGTTTGTCATTTTTTTATGTTTGTATAGATGTGTCACAACAACCTGATAACAGCCTAAAAATGTTCCCACTTTTTCGTTTGTTACCTTTTAAATTGTTCCAAAGCCTCAGGCA